AAAAAAAAAAAAAAAAAGCAAGTGGCAGGATTGTGGCTGCTTCTGCTAGCAGCCGGCAGAGCCAGCTGATTTACAGCTGGTGTCTAGAGGCAAGGGATGCTGCAGGAGTCTGCTGCTGCTGTTGGTCTCAAAATCCGTTTGCTTTGGGCCACCCGTTTGGCACGTTTATTCACACGCAAACACCCTTTCGTAGTTTCCTTCCCCTGGCTGTATTTTCCAGGTGAATTCATAACAAGCCAACATTTTAAACATTCCCCGCATCACGTCTGCCTTCTGGAAGGATCCAGCTAGAAGAAATTCATATTCTGCTGGTATTTGAATCCTTCTCCTACTCTCTGTCTGTGCTTCCCCCCCTCCCGTCCTCCCTCTCCCCCACCCCCAGTTCCTGCTCCCTGAAGGAGAAAAGAACATATCAACCCAAAGACAGCATTGCAACCTTTTCTTCACTATCTCCCGTGGGGCGCAAATTGAAATTGAATTAGACAGGGATATCAGGTCTGCTCGCTGTGATAACTGTAAAAGGATTTTATTTAAAAACACCCTGACATTTGTTCACCCAGTTTCAAATATTTAGCTTTCCTCCTTTCCATTCCTGGCGGGGGCGACTTTATTAATTGTCGCCTTTGATTCAGAGTTAAAGCTTGAAAGGGCTGATAACAGCAGTGGTGACTATTTCTTCCTGCGACGTGGCCCACAGCAAAAGGATTTCATTTTCTTAAAGACGGTGTGTGTACACTGAGAGTTTATTAAAAAAAAAAAAAAAAAAAAAAAAGGGAAGGGGGAGCTGTTTTTACGTGCGTAATACCGGCTGTTCCTTACTGATACGAGGAATATCTGATCTCACTCTTTTTTTTATATATTATTTATTTTCTCTGGGCTGTTACTCTCTCTGGATTTTTATTTTTATTTTTGAAAAAAAAATGGGAAAGGCGACTGGAATGAAAGAGTGCTGTTGACAGGAGAAAATGGTAATTTTTTTATTTTTCTCTGAAAATACTTCAAAGATTATATAAATATTAACCTTTTTCTTTTCTTCTTTTTTTCCTCAATGCGGTGCTGCAGAGCACAGATAAATCCAAGTGGCTGTGGCATGGGCATTTAATTTTCTTAAGAAGTTTTCTCTGCTTCTTGGAAGGACGTTGTCTGAGACCATGAACGTAATTGGATGATTAAAGAGAGTCATCTACATCTGGTTATGCTTAAAAAGGGCCAGTACAGCAAGTCGGTGGTGGCCCCATAGGGCTGTCATAATGCAGGGTGTAAAGGAGGGAATAGCAGAGATGTGGGTCTCAGCCTGCCTATTGCTCTCGCTGCCTCTTAGCCTATGGATCGAAGGGAGGGGCTTGAAGTGACAACATGAAAAGTGATTTCTGGATTTGTCTTAAACTGTTAAAGCCTAATTACAAAATGTCTTAAATACCAGTGATCCTTTTGGTTCCTGATGCTGAGGGAGCACATGAAGAGCGGGCATGTTAATAACTACTTCAGCTGCCAAATACCCTCTTTATTAACCGCTCAGCTCCTAAACTTGGCAAAGCATCCAGATGCGCGGAGCAGATCAGGCTTGTCAGCATCCGGCTGGATATATTCTTTGAAAGAGGAGAACTTTCCTTGTGCCCACTTGCAGTGCATACAGCTCTTTCCAAAGTGCACAGACCAGACAAGCAGTCTACTCAAGGTCTATTCCTGCACACCCTCCATGGTCCCTGGCTAGTGCCTGCTACCATGAGTAGCCTCACTGGTGACATGGCCTGACATGAAGTGTTTGTAAGGACTGGCCTTTCCTTTGGCATGGAAGGATGGGAGGCATAGCTACTCTGTCAGAGGGGGTTGGCAAAAGAGAGCTCACCAGCCAAGCTGCGTTTTGAAAAGAGGGAGATTGCTTGGAGCAGAAAGGGGGGACCCTTCAAAGCATTAGGGCAACCAGTCAATTCCAGAAGGACGTCTAGAATCTCAACAAAAGGTTTGCTTTCCCTTAGTAGGGCCCAGGACCATCAAATACCTGAGCTGATGTGCTGCAGACATTCACTTATAATGTGATAAAGTTTTGATATAAGCCTTTTTGCATCACCTCTGTAGCAGGGCTTCTGTGAGTTAATAGCAGAAATACTGAAGAATAAAGCAAGATTTAGGGAGGGATGGTTATAGGTAGGGACCTACCTTGATTGTAGTTTCGCAGATTTTGTGAAAAACAGCATTTTCTGTGATTGCCAGAAAATCATGCATTGGCTGTGAATTCCCTGGGAAATGAACCAAAAAAACCGAAAACAGTAGTGAGGTAGACTGAGTGATGCGCCCTCCACCAATCGTCTTGAAATGCCCACAAAATCAGCTCTTTGGGCCATGAAAAACCCATGGTCTCACCATGATGTCAATAGGTCCCCAGTCATAGCATTGTAACAGGTGTATCAGTATTTCCCTGGCATACGGGCAGAACTTGTAAATCTGCCTAGAGTGGAAAAGGCAGCATTTTTCTCCAGTTTATAAGTGTGCTGCATTGTACCAGATGAGTCCTCATCGTAGAACTTGCAGCATGGATGAAGAGGTTCTTCTGTGTCCCATCTGGTACTGACGCATCTTAGAGCCGAGTGTGCGTTTGCTCACTTTTCACTTGACTGAAGATATCTGTTTGCATAACGTTGGTTAATTCCATGTCCCAAGGGTCGTGATCATCTCTGAATGCAGTAGCATGGCCCAAAATGATCAAATGGCTTGTGGGGGAGAAATCAGTTGGAAGGAAACCCATCAGCGCACAGATTGTATAGGATGAGCTGGTTTCCTTTTTTAAAAAATAAAAAAAAAATGGGAGAGATCTTGAATATGGCTTCCAGTTAAAGTAGAAAACCTACAACAGGCTGCCAGAGTCAAAAACATTTCTCCACTAATAAAATGTACATTAAAAATACCCCAGATCAACTGTCCTTGGATGGTCTCAGACTGATTCAGTCTGAGAATGAATCATCGTTTGCCTAAGGAAATGGGGTAGGGCAGTGAGCCTCTCCAAATTGTGTGCATGGATATTGGGTGAAATGTGGGGGAAAGGGAATCAACCCCAACGTCACAGATTTGATCCCCAGTTGGACTAGATCAGTGGTTTTTAACCTTTTTTTTTCACTCGTGGACCCCTAAAAAAGTTTGAATAGAGGTGCAGACCTCTTTGAATGGTAAGTGTGGCTATTCGCATACTTTTGATTGATCTCAGGCATCTTTCACAGACTTTTTAGAAGTAGTCTGTGGACCCCCAGGGATCCGCAGACTGCAGGTTGAAAACCACTGGACTTGAGGTCACTTACAGCCTGACTTCTCAGTGATCTAAGAAATCAAAGGAGAAGTTTAACAGAGAGAGTGAGATCCATAGGAAAAAATCCCATGAAAAGAGCAAGGACCTGTTTCAGCCCCAAGCAGCTTTGCAAACTACTTCCTTGGGAGCAGGACTGTGCTCCAAGCATGGCATGTGGAAAGGCAGCGTTCAAAAAAGGAAATGGAAACAAGAATTAAGCCCCTAGGCTCAAGTTTGCGTGAAAGGTCTTTGCAAATGCCTCTTCTGTTGTCTTGTTGCTTTCAGGTGAGTCATCAGCTGGGTAGCGTGATGGATCTCTTCACCACCAGCCTCTTGCTGGCAGGATTGCAGCCTCCCGATGACAGACAGATTGACGGCATTGACCTTCTACCTGCTGTCCTGCAGGGCAAGCTAATTGACAGGTTAGTTAGAAGCACAGAGCTCGTGGCTCCCGTCTGCCGTTCTTGGGTTATTGGACAGGCGTGGAACTTGTTTGTTTGTTTCTAAACTTCCTCCCATTATTTTTAGAATGGGAGCAGTGCATTGTGGGTGAATCGGGGTGAGCAGCAACGATTTTCTTTCTCTCTTAATTCTCTGCTGGAGCTAGTCAAGTGGGATTTCCTGACACTTGACATATCGCCTTGTAGTGGATTTCATGGGTAGATGCAAGTGTCATGGGGGTTAGCATGGATCTCTGGAGGCATATAAGCTTGCAGTAAGGGTAAATTCTATGAACTCTAACCTGGGGGAAAGGATGCGCTAGTATTTTATTACTTTCACATCCAAGAGTGTACTGGGCCCTTCATGGAGCACAGCCAGATGTGAAAGAGCCTACAATTGAAGGCTTTGATCCTGGAGAGGAACTTGGCTGGTATTTCATGTGCACCTAAAGATCTGTGTGTCTGCACCCTTTTATAGGGATGAACCTCAACTTTAGACTTCAGTTGGAGACCTGGGAGGTGACCAGCTTGGGGTAGGGCCTAGGTGTGTGGTATTAAAGTGTAATAGTGAGCATTTTTGACTCACTCCCTGGGGCTCAGCTGCAATTGTAATGACAAGACCTGATGGATCAGAGCAGAAAAGGCAGAGAGATGCTTCTCAGGGTACTCCTTACATATTGGACTTGAGCCATTGTTCAGTAAAGTAAATTGTGTGCCCACTAAAGCAGAAAGCTTCTGCACAGAGTATCAGAAGTTCAGCCGCTGGCTGGTCTAAGATATTGCTAGGTGTAGGCCGGCTATGAAATGTTGCTACCAGCAGTAATTGAAGTCTGTTGAAGTTTTTATTTTTTAATTGGTTTAAACACCTTATTGTAACACAGATTACAAGGTAATAAATGCCTTTTTCAGTGCACACAATAAACATCTCTGTTCCCAGATTTAATTGGAAAACCAAATTTCCAAAGGCAAAAATTCCATTTCTGTTATTTTTTTCAGTGGGTTAGGAATTGGCATTCCTTTTAGTGAAGAAAGCAGGAACAACAGAGGTGGAAGAAGGATAGCAAATATTTTGTTTGCTTGAAGAAAAAGGACTTGCATCCTCCTAAACCAAAGCATGTAACAGCTTCTCAAAACATGAGTGGTGAGAGTGAGGGAGGACAGATCTGGTTGTTCTGTTTTAACTTCACTGCTCTGAATGTTTTCCGCCCAGATCTATGTTCTTTAAACCTCCCTAGATCCCAGGGGAATTTAGGTATGTCGGGAATGCAGGCCTGGACCTTCCCTGATGTGCAGCATTGCTTCCTTCATTCATAAGCAAGTTGTAGTTGCACAGGGCAGAAGGCTCATTGTGTAAGGTGCCCGCGAAGGAGACCTAACTTTAGCCTTGAAACAGAAGGGATCCACAACCACTCCCATGCTTCAGGTTGAGAGGGTTTGTTTGTTTTTTTAACCTTGCCCTTCCATTTAAGCAGTATTCTTCGCGGTGGCACCCTGCAGCTGAACGGTTCTTGCTGGCTAGGGATTCTGAGTTTAAGAAAAAGCTACACACCTTAAAAATGAGGAGAACCAGGCTTCTGACTTCATTGTATCACCAGCATTAAACAGCTGGGAAGGGCTGACTGAGTTTGAGGTCCTTGGGTGAGAAAAGCTGCCAGCAATCAGTCCTGCCTCCTGTAGACAGTACAGCTCAGTAACAGAATGTCATGGGCCTGCCTTGCCATTCATGCCAAGAATAAGAGTTTTTTGGCAGTGAAACCTAGGTAGAGGAGGGGATTGCTTTGGGCACTGAGGATGGACTATGCTTAGCAGATGTGTGAGAGCAGTGGACCTTTGGGGAAAAAAGTGGTGTTCTGGGCTGCCTTCAGCCAACTTGGCAAGGCTTTTTGGGGAGGAAATGTGTGGGCATAGGAAGCATCTGGATACTGGTATTTTTCAGTTGGGGGCTCCTGTGATAGCACTGCAGAGCACTGTGGCACCTAGGAGGAGATCCCCCATCTGCAATCTCTCTCCAGCCCACCTGTGTGACAGTAACAGCTCGCAGCCTCCTGCCATTGCGCTGTGCCACCAGCCACAAACAGGAGACCAAGCATCGCACAGCCTGTGAGTCCCCATCACACGCGTGTGCACACACTCTTTTCTGAGACGTTTGGTGTTTAAATCGTCAAGCTCTATAGGAAATTACAGGGTCTGATAGTTCAAGGATTAACAATCGCTGGCAGCCGAGTTGTATAATGTTTCATTCGTGCACAGTGTGAGCTCTCAACTTGATGAACACTTTAAAAAATGTTAATTGAAAACCTTGCAGTGGAGACGATTAGAAGGCAGCCTGTTCCTGACTGATAGCTGGATCGGAAGTCAGACTCCATTAAAGTGTTTGTCTCCCTTATCAGTGCGCCTGCCGAAGCGCTTGTTTGGGCACATCGCATTTCTCATGCAGCTGTACTTCTCCCCCCTCTCCCTTTGCTTCCCTGTCAGGCCGATATTCTATTACCGTGGCAACGAGATGATGGCAGTAAGAGTTGGGCTTTACAAGGCTCACTACTGGACTTGGAGCAACTCCTGGGAGGAGTACAGTAAGGTAACAGAAACCAACCCCCCCAATTGAGTCTGTTTTCCTCATAACCAGGCACATCCAGGTGTCTCGCACCTGGGGTAATAACTCTGTTAAGGAAGCATGTAGAATCCTGGTGCATCACTGCACACTGTTTTAACTAGCTGTTTCTTTGAGGCAGTGATTTGTAAGAACTGTAGAGTCTGTAGCATAAAGGCAGGAGGTTGGTATTTCAGCACCTCTATATAGAAGTCAGTGCCAGGCCAAGGTGATGATAAGAGACTCTTATGGCGTGGCGGGGGTTTGGCTTTTTGTCTTAATATATATTATAAATATTCGTTTTAATATATATAAAAGTACTCAGTACCCCTTACTGTTAAGCAGCTTTTCCTGACAAAGTCTGACCATTCTTCTAGTTTGTTTGGGCCATTTGAATAGTTGCATTAAGTTAATGGGATGGATCTCAGTGCATAATGTGGAAAACCTAGTGCCCTTCACTGTCTAAATGCCATGAGATGTTTTTTCGAGGCGATGCATTGAGAGAGAAGGAAACACAGTGGTCAGGAGCTGAACTAGGTGAAAGACGACCACCCTTTCTCTAAGAACGATTACACCGGCTTTGCTAGAGATGGGGTGCCTTCGTGCTTCCTGCCTGCTTATTTTACTGTTCTAAGCCACGCTCAGTTGCTATATTGCTTCTTTTGTGTCCTCCTTATTCTAAACTTGGGTACTCAACTCCAGGGCATTTCACAGCTGCCAGGATCACAAATGTCCCATGCTGGTTCTACCCTTACAAGTGAAGTAAATATATTGTGGCACAGCTCCCAGCAATTTTGACAGTAGGCTGCTAGGGTGACTGTTTGTAAGATTGTTGTTGGGTTTTTTTGTGTATGTTGTAGGTCCTTCAGGCATCACAGGTGCAGGAGTGAGGGCCATTGACATTTGTGGATGTGAAAGTGCATAATTTCTCTACTTGGGGTGTCTGGAGGAAATGTCATCTCTAAGGTAGTCTTTTTACTGTGTGTGTGTGTGTGTGCGCGCGCGCGTGCGCGCAAATCCTGTGAGGGTCAAGGAGTTGATGTTGCTCTAGGATTTGTAGTGGCAGTGCCAAACGTACTTACCAAGAGAAAGGGACTTGGGGCTCTAAAGGTGCGTTGCCCTTTGTGGCCGATGTTATCGCTGCATGAAGGGGACAATATAATGGGCTTGTCTACACAAGTGTGAGAGCAAAGCTTGTATCTCACAAGTGATACAGAAGGAGCGTGAAAGATTTTTTTCCCTCTGCATGGGGACCCTGGAAGAGAGAGTGTATGTATTATATACACAATGCTCAGAGGCAAGCACTTTTCATATATACAGGAGATAATGTCAGGTATGAGTAATTGCTCTCTGTTGTAATACAAGTGCATACATACACTTGCATACCTGGGTTTTTTTTTTGGGGGGGGGATAACTGCATTGATCTAAACCTATTTGTACATGTCTGAATATGTGTATAGCTTTGATAATGGGGACCAGTTACTCATTTCAAAGACTTTCTCACTGTGAGCAGTGGCAGTTGTACAATTAAGGAATATTTCTTTCTTTCTAAGTCTTTGTTTAACTACTGGCTGATAAAAGTCAGCAATTATACTGTACATCAGAGATGATTAAAAATTCACTTGCTTTCCTGCAGCTTGTATCACATGTGGTTGATGTGGGTAAAATTGGAGCACATTAGTGGACAGACTAACCATTAACAACATGCAGAGGGGAAGCTGGGACTGAAATTTCTTCCGATTCTTCTTTAACATCCTCCAGGCCTTAATTACAACCCTAGCAAGTTTTTAGAGACAAGAAGACATTGAGAGGCAGAATATTTTTATAGTTCTGATTTTTGGTTTGATTTCTTGGTTTTTTTCTGGGCTCATCTTTCATACATGCTAGCCAGGTCCCTCTTTGCAGACACTGGCTTTATTGGTCACATTAATTTTGGGGTGAGAGTTCTTCTGGCAGAATTGGAGGGCCAGTTTTGCTTGTGGGCTTCACAGCAAATGGATTTTAATGAATGCATACGTGTGATGTTAGAAATCTCCACTGCGAGCAGAACACATGTTCGGTGAGTTTGACTTGCCAAGCCACTGGGGCTTTGGCTAGTACAGCAAGCTTTGCCTCCTGTAATTGTAGGGCCTCCTGACTGGATTGTTACTTAAATATCAGAGCCGGTCGCAGAGATTTATTAGACGTGAAACTCACTCTGGGGCCAAAATCCAACCTCATACAAGCAGGTATATTTCACTGTCTTTATTGGAGCTGCAGTCATTTTAAAGCAGGTCTGACGCTGGCCAGATATGTCAAGACGGCTGTCTGTGGGTTTTTCAGGAGATTTATTTTATGGGTAATTTAGTATCTTGTTGTTTTTTTTTAAATTTTTTTATAGAGTAGTTTCACATTTTAGCCAAACCTCTGTTTGCTCTTGAAATTCCCTAGTTAATTGTCAGAATGGAAAATTATTTAATAGAGGCAGCTTGCAGTATTTTTAAGCCATGCTTGGTTTCTTTTTATTTAGGTCTTTTAGGCCTGGGAATGCCATTAAAAACAGCAGAACCCTTCTTTTGTTTTGGTATTGGAGCACTTCAAACTGTTATCGTGCTCGCAGATCTGCCCTTGCACATGCCTTTTGGCCACTTAAAGCTTTTCAGGTTTGGTTCAGAAGAACTGGGGCAGGTTGAGGAACTGTAGTTTTCCAGGTCAGATGCTAATTGCTTGATTGCAGCATTATAGGAAGCAAACATGTTATATTTTTATATAACAGAGAACCAGACTTTTCCCCACATACGGCATTGAGAATATTTACACTTCAAAGATCCCATGCCAACAGTACACAGGTTCACAGTCTTATTTAACTTATTAAACTCCCATGTTATTAATGGGTCCTAACTAGTCTCCATCATCTGTATTATGGTTTGGGATTAAAATTCATGTCATCACTCACAAACATGAAATGTGCTGGGGGTTTTTTGTTGTTATTTAATTTCCAGACCTAGTATTTTCTAATCAGATTCCTTCCATAAATCATTTATCATTTTTCCGTAGCACCAAGGTGTTGCATGCAGCGCCATTTTCCCCTGCCCTCTCTACTTGATTATTTAGATAACTTCCAGTTTTGAATGGCTGCTTTCTCAAATAGCATAAGGGAAGGAAAGATAAATGCACTCGGAAGGAGTAAGTGAGACTAAGGGCTCTGTGGCTCAGATCCCTTTTGTCTGTAAACTACCTTGGATGCTCCCATTAGGAATATTTACCTAGCTGTCATGCTCATACCATAAAAAACTTCTGATTTACAGGGATTTCACGTTTATGCAGTTCAAACAGTCTAATGTTCAGGAGCTGGTGACTAGGAGGGAGGAAAGGAAGTTTGCTGAGACCTTATGTTATAGAATTTCTAAACAATTTGGTATTTAACTTGCAAGCTCTATTGGGGAGAGAGACTTTTATTAAAAAAAGCAGACCAGCAGAAGTTTATCAGAATTGCACAGCCCCAGACTTCATTTGGAGAATCGGCTTGTGATGTAACAGGAAACTGACTTTGTTGTTTTCCCCCGGCATTTGAAAAGAAGCGGTGGCAGTGGAGAGGGGATAATCTGCCCATATTCTGCCTCGGTGGTGTGACAGTGAACCACCAGCAGGATTTGTTTGGAGCTAGATACTCAGCCAGCTGAAACCCACAGAGCTGCCATGTCTTTTACTTGCTAGAGGATGTGGCTCTTGCTGTCCTTTGCCTTTGTGCTGATGGGTACCAGAGTGTAGGTCCTTCTCCTGTCCTACTCTTTGGCCATCTTGCTCTCCCAGCCAAATCTAGTGGTGACATGAACAGCTATGTATATGATATGTCAGGCTAGAGAATCAGTGTTGCTGCCAAGGGAGTGAAGACTGGTTGGAAGCTGGAGCTAAACTAATTTAGGAGGATTTTTGTTTTATCAGTGAGGTTACTTAACCATGGCTAACAACTTACCAAGTGTTGTGGCAAATTCTCCATCTCTGGAAACATTTAAATCCAGCTCAGATGCTGTTCTGAAAGGCATGCCCTAACTCCAGTGGGAATGTGCGGAGAGAAATCCCATGGCTTGAACTGGGCAGAAGGCCAGAATAAGGGGAGGGGGTAGCTGCATTTAACCCTCCCTTGAGTAGACAGACAGGTGTGCCTTATTCAAGGCCTGCAAGAGGGTAATGATAAGGAAACCTGGGATTTCTTGGTGGAGTTACTTGGTTGCCTTCCTAGGGATAGCAGGATTCTTCAAGAACCCATGGTTTAATTACCCCATGCAAGGAGGCGGAATTGCAGCCACTGGGAGATTGATGCTTCTCCCCTCTGCCTACTTCTGAGGTTGCTCCAACACAGCATAAATATTGTGCAGCAGTCGTGGGAGCTTGGACTAGATCTTTAAAAATATATATTTTTTGGAAAAAAAAGCCTTTTGGTGTCTCGGGCAGTGGCTGATAAAGTCGGCCTCTGCTGTCAGCTTAGTTTCTTGTTAGTAATCTTCAGTGATTTTTTTTTTTTTTTTTTTTCCCATAAAGGCTACTGTACCTTTAAACGATTTGTGTGCAAGGGAGAGAAGGCCCTATTGTTTTAATGTAAAATGCCAAAGGGGTTATTCTTGCCGCAGTCTGTTCTGATTGCCCTTCTCGTCAACGTGAAGGGATCGATAAAGCCTTTTCTGCGAGGGGGTTGTGAAGTCAAGTAGAACCTCACAAATAATGACATTTGATTGTGGTCCTCTGAGCATATGAGCTAGTCATCGATCGCTCCAGCTTGAAAGCCGATGGAGACTTTTTGATTCGCTTCTTTTCTCTGGTCCCTTCCAGACAGTTAACACATTAGACGCGATTTTTGTTCAACAGGGCTGAAGTGGTTGCCAAGAGAAAGCAGCAACAGCATGTTCAGGTGTCCAGTCGCTCGGCCTTCCAGATCTGAAGGCTTTGGTTTAGCATTGCTGCTTCCCAGGGCTGTGGCATTGACTCGAAACAGCAGGTCGCTTCAGCGCTGGGGATCCCTAACTCAAACCACCTAGTGGGTTTTTTCCCTCCCCTACTATTAATATACTTTTCTTGCTGCTGCGTTGGGTTTTGTGCGTTGGAACGAGGAGATGGAGTCCAGCGTTTGCTGTGCTGCTCTTGTAATCCGCAGTCACTTGTAAAGTCGGAGCAGTCTGGGAGAGTGCCAGGGTGATGAATTGCCGGAGGGCTTACATTAACACAAGTGGTGATTCCATCACTTGGCCAAGAGCCCATCCTGGCAAACTGCTGCATTTGTCTCATGTCTGTATTGACATAGCATCTGTGGTCCATTTGCTCTGGAAATTGAGGCACAAGCTGTGCAACCAACAGTAGTTCTTACTGAAGGGGAAAAAATTGAGGTTAGTTATACGGTTGCAAGGAAGAAAGGACAGGCAGCCCTGGCCCCTTAAGCATCCGGTTGCTTTTGGAGCAGACGGGAGGGGGTACAGTTCAGTGGAGCTCAGTGGCAATTCCCTTCCAACGGACAAGATTGTGCAGCAGCACAAAGCATCTGCCCTACCAGCTGAGTTGCTTCTGGCTGCTGCTTTCAAGTCATCCGATGCTGTTTTAGCTGGCCGCCGCACACTGAGCAGTGCTGTAGGCGCATCCTCCTGAGCTGGTTTGTACGCTCGCTTAGGGGATCTGCCGAAACGCAAGCGGCAGCCCGTGTTAGGTCACTTATTTTTTTTTGGTCAATGTGCATCTTGCCTCCGATAACATGGAGAGTAAAATACCAGAGCTGCGCTGAGGATCAATAGCCAGTTAAAAGCACCTCCTGATTAACAGTCTCTCCAAGAAAATGTTTAAGGAAACAATGCGGTGAGGAGGGCGGGGACTGGATCAATTCTTTGCTCTTCTCCTGTCTGAAGTAAGTTACTGTTTAAGTGGTGCTGCTTAGGGTGGCCTCTGGGACGCCAGGTATATTGGGGCCAGATCCTTGGCTGGCACAAATTGGCAAAGCTCCATCAATGTCCATGGAGCTGCATCATTTTGCTTCTGCTGCCAACCTGACCTGTCTTGCCTTGTACATGAGCCTGCCACAGCCCTCAGGTATAGCTTCTGAGTCCTGTGCAGTTAGATTGCCTTATTTATTGAGGAATGGGACACAATCCTCGCCTGATGACATGGTTTCAAATTCTCTTCTGTTGATCTCTGACCATCCAAGTACGTAGAAAGGGTTCCCTCCTTTCTTTGCATGCTTCTTGCCATTGGAGCCCACTCCAGCTTTTGGGGAGGGGGAGAAGGGGCAGGCAAACTGCCTATCATGCTTTCTTCACCAAGGGTAATGTTTTTCATCCCAACAGGGGAAGGTCTAGCATCTTTCTGCATGTCACCTTTCCTCCCCACTCCTGGCAAGCACACACAACCTAATTGGCATGCTTCCCAAGCTGCTAGAGGCATTGTCCAGATGTTCAGATGGGTGGATTGTCTGTATCTTGAAATGCTTCCCAAAGCAGAATTGATTTAAAATTCCCAGCTCCAGAAAAGGGAAGTGGTCCAGACAGGACTCTTGGGCTTTCAGTTGATTCGTGTCAGACACTGTGCTGTTTTCTTTTCACAAACTGAAAACAGCATTGAATTTACAAAGCACCAAATGGGACAGAATAGAGGTAGACTATTTAAGCAGGGAAATTTGTTCTCCTTCAGAATATAAGCTGCTTTACCATCTTGGGCAACAATACCATGAGGTCTCAAATGCCAAGTTTTGGCAAAATGCCTTTTATTAAAAAAGAGGCTCACAGGTACCTGTTTAATAAGACTTTGGAGTGAGGCGCATTGGAGCGTGACTAGCATTCCCTCTTGTCAATGCATCGGAAACTTTCTCAGTGCTGCGAGACACCCGCTCCATCTTATACAGGGTATCTGTGTATCATCAGACATCCTCCTGGGTATCATACTCTGATACGTGGTGTCCAGCGTCCTGGTTACTCACCACTTCCTGGTTTTAATGATTGTGCAGTGCCCAGGTCAGTCAAGCGAGCCCTTGAAATCAATATGCAGAATGGATTATGGGATCAAGGCTCTTGAGTTGCAAACAGGGATTTCTTATGCCCTCCATGCTGACGCTAGTTTTTATTGTTCCCCAGTAAAGCAGAGAGCTGGCTTTTTAAAGGTATAGACTGGTTTGGAAGCTCTTAAGGGCAGAGGGCCTCCGTAATATTTGAGACTACAAACCTGGTCCTGATGGATAGCAGCGTATCTGCCATTTGGGATTTCCACAGAGCCCTGTAAGGTCCTGTGTGGTACAGTGCCGGTGGATTTTAGCACTTACGCAGGATCAGGGCTTGCATTCGCACAGGACCTAAGCTGTCCAGTTTAGTCCCTCCCTCCTATCCTTCGATTATGACCGTCACCATGTAAGTCAGAAAAATGAAATAACAAGCCCTCTTTTATGGAGATAAAATTAAAGGGCTTTAGAAATGGCCCTTTAAAGGGCTTCATAATGGTCCAAGCCATGTTTTAGGGCTGCTATTTATCAGTGTCATTGAATTGTTTCTTTGAAAGGATTGTCTTGCTCCATCTGCCCGCCCCAGGTAGATAAAGTTTGAACAAGGAACTGGCTTTCAAGGCCTGCCAGACAGACCCCTACGTTGAAGCTTCCTCCTTTCTCGGGAATCTGCAGGATGTAATCTGGAATGTGCTCCGGCACTCCTGTTACAAGGATTATATGAGAAGCAAAGGGTGAAATGTATACGGAGCAACATAGAAGCGAATGCCCAAGAGAATAAATTCTTCCCTCAAACTAAAACATTTGCATTAGTGGAGCAGTGCACCAATTAGCAGACTCTTAATTAAATAGCTTGTTTGATCTGCATCCAAATTATAATTTGTATGTTATGTCGGCTTTGATACCTTTCCATTAACTGTTCTGTTTTTGTTTTAAGGTCTGTTTTCCACTATTAAAACCTCATTCAATCTCAGAGGTCTATCCTACCAGAAGGTTAAAAGGTCAATCATTTTTGTACCCATTTAAAGTCCATTATTGGTAGCCTGCTACAACCTATCAAGCCACTCTCTTATTTTTTTTTCCAGCCACTGATTCAGGAATCTATAGCTCTGTGCAGATAAATGGGATTTCATGGGCTTCTAACCTCCTTGCTTTATTGAAAAGCAGAATATTAACTGCTCCGCTGACCAGCTGTCCATTAAAACACGCAGGATATTTTTGGAAAATTGTTTGCCGATCAAATGCTGCTCACATCTGGAGAAAGCCTTTCAGTTTGTTTGCTTTATAAGCAAATGGCACAACTGCTTCCCCCCCCCCCCCCC